ACAGCACGAGCATCAGTCATGGTCGCAGAGAATCCCGCCGTGGGGTTAGTTATGCCCACAGAATCTTCCACGTTGTATCCACTTAGCTCCACGGTGTGTGCCACGTTACCCTCGGTGTGTGGCGTAGGCTCCACGGTGTGTGCCACGCCGCCCTCGGTGTGCAGCACGGGTGTCACGGGTTGCGCCTCCGCACCTTCGGTGTGCATTGGTACCGTTACAGTACCCGCACCGAGCACAGTGGTACCACAGTACAACGGTGAACTGTGGTGCTGTGCAGACCGCTCTGTCTGACTCGCACACCGCTGCGTGCCTTGCTGCTCCGCCGCCACGGTACCGCCATGCCCCTCTCCGTCCGCATCCTCACCGATACTGGCCGCGTCGGAACGTGGGCGTCGGTCTGCCCCGTCCGAATTTCGTTGCATCCCACCAGCTCCAGCGGCTCCCGCCTGAATCTCGTCGATTCGCCGGCGAGTTTCGGCCTCGGCCTGCTCTGCGGCTCCAAGACGAGCGCGCAGCTCATTCTCGGCCCGTTCCCGTCCAGATTCTGCGGCATTCCGCGCCATCTCCGCCGTTCTGATGGCCTGCCGCGCGGTTTGCATCCCAACGCGCAACTCCTCGATTTGCTCGAGCAGATGGCGCTCCATCTCTTCGACTTGGTGGCGCGTGTTCATATGAGCCTCGCTGCGCTGCCGAAACTCCCGCCGATGCACATTCCTGGCCGCTTCTCGGTCGGTCAGTGCGTTGGCCTCTAGCTCGCCAACACATGCGTTCATGTGCTCCAATTCCGCGCGCTGCGCCTCCAACGCCCGCAGCACCTCGCCACGCAAAGCAGCTCGCTCGGTGTCCGCTCCCTGCAGCAATTGAGCGCGCCATCCTTCCAATTCCCTGCCTACCTCCACGTGGATGCCACCCACCGCATCCTCCATTTGATTCTCCATCAAGCCGCGCCAGCGGTCCAAACCTTGCGCGTCGATTCCCTGGGTGATGTTCGCGACGTTGATCGTGTCGCCCTGCCTCAGCGCGAGTGTTTGGGCGTGCAGCATCATGCCATTCGCTCCTCCCAGCTGTCCATGGCCGTTCCACTCTCGGCCCACTCCGGACGGCCCCGGTTCCTCCACCGCCGGTGTAACCGCGGTGTCCTCCGCGTCCATGGGTACTAGCTGTCGGTCCATACCGACGCATACCGCGGTACCCGGGCTCCGAAACCACTTGATGCGGGTCCTAGCGAGGACCACGCGCGGGCTGCATGCGAGAGAGCGTGGAACCCAACGAGAGACGTTACAGAGTGTGCTCCGCGCACACTTAACCTGTCAATCAGCGTATAATGAAATGTATAATGTACAAATGTTAATGTACAACTATTTTAATGTACTACCAGCCAATGTGAGTGGTGCCACCGGCATCACCGGGTGCTAGTTGTACCCGGGTACCTGGGTGTTCATAGTTCCCCGGGTATGGAGTGTACCCGGGTTACCCGCGTACACCCAGGTACCCAAGTTCTGGAAACTCCGGGTACCCGGGTCCGGATTTTTCAGCCCGGGTACCATCCCTAGTAACTACCAACATGAAATGGGTGAAAACGTAAGGAGACGGTGAAAGCCCAAAGGGCAAAGCATGACAGGCGAAAACTTCCCCGCCCATTCGGAATTGTAAAAAGCATTCATCCTCCATTCGCATCCGCAAATGATGGTAAGCATCCTTGACATCAAAACCGACTAAAAAATCATCGCGTTTCAACAAATGACCAAAATCCCATAATTTTTCGTACCGCAAACCCATTTTGCGGAGATGACGATTACCCCGGCAGAGATCCACACAAAGGCGGTACTTCATCACCCCATTTTCCCACATTTTTTCCACCAAGAAGGCCTGAGAAATATGCGAGTCAGGACCAGGATCTACCTTGACGATCGCTCCCGAACTCAAATACTCCGCGCGGAGGGCCTCCCATCCCGCCTGCTCTGCCGTCGAACGGATCGGGTACTCGCCAAGATCGAAGGATGGGGGAGGACCCTGCGGGCCCCATGGCAGTGGGACCCCGAATGGATCCAGCGTAGAATGTGCTATGGCACTCCAATCCTCCGCCATACCGAGAGCCATCCACGGGTGCAGTTATAAGGGAAGTCAGTCACGCGTCCGGAGGTGGATGTGGCGCTTGAGGTGGATTGTGCCGCTTCCCCCGCTTCCCCGATGGGCCGCTCGAATTGTGTGGGAGATCGCCGCTCCCCGCCTTGCCCGCGCGGCTGGCCGCGGCCACCTTGGTCACAAGCTTGACTTCTTGCGTCAAAAGCTCCTTGCGAATGACACCCAACATGCCATCAATGATCTCGGTGGTGAAACCGCCTTCGGGCTCGCTAAGGCGGATCTGAGCTTGCAACGCCCGCCAGGATCCTTCGAGGCCGGTGCCGCGATGCTTCGCGTGCACTTGGTGAAGACGGAGCTGATTCACTTGGCAATTGGTAATGGCGACCGAGGCATAGACGTAGGGGAGGAGTTCGTGGATCGAAGGCGGGAGGCCCGGATGGGCGACGAGGTCCACGAAAGCCGCCATGTAGTCAAACTGCCACACGACCCAAGGAGCCCAACTCGCGTACTCCTGGAAATAGCTGGAGTTGGGTCCCAAGGCAGCAGCCACGGTCTGGCCTTGGCCCGTCTCCCATACGTCAAACCAGGCCGGGAAGGACGTGAAGTCAGGCCTGGCGATGCGGTTGTTGACTGACCGTGGGAGTAAGTGGGGTCGGAGACCCAGGTGAGATCTAACCCCAAGTATAGGGGTTGACAGAAACCTGCCATGTGATGGCCCAGAAACTGACCCAAGGGGCTGAACGGCCCGAACTGGCCCTTGCGCGCCCATCCAATCGTCGTCCTTCGAAGAAACTTATTAACAGGATAGTTGATCATGTGAACAGCCACATCAGGATACATTTGGCCAGCGTCCAGCATCACTGCAAGACCCTCGTTTGGAATTGCTCTACACTGCGCCATCGGCGCCCATTGCCAGCACATCCGTTGTGTTTAACAAAAGCGACCCCTTCGGCACATCTAGTAAAATTACAAATACGTCAAAGAAGCCCACGATGTACATGCATTGCAGAGGTCTGCACGCGACTGCCTGCCCGGCAGTGCCGCATGCACAGCAGGGTTCAACTGGGGCGCACAGTCGGACACCTTTTGCATGATTTTGAGGCGATCGCAAACAGCTCGTTTGAGTCATAATTCCATGGAAGAATACAGCCGCCCTTGTTCAAGTGGGTTTCAATGGGCAGAAGAGAAACACACACAGCTGCCAAATGAAAAACGTCATGCATTGCACTGCGCCTGTTACAAAGATCCTCGTCTCCCCACGACCTTTCCTGTCCCTTCAACAATGCCACCACAAAACCAAATCATGTCTCTTTCTCCACATCAGTTTCTCCACATCATTCCGTCTTGCCTACAAATGGTGTCAACCTCCCCGTCCCGGTGGCTACAGCTAAACCCATTAACCCCATCCCTGTCCGTTCCCAGGAGCACCAGACTTGAGCAGCGGTTCCAGGACGATCTCAAAAGACGAGGTATGGTGGATCTCTCTGATCGGCTGATCAACCCAACTAGCCAGGTTGACGCAGCCGCAGGCAACGAATGAGCAGAAAGCAAACAGACAGCCAGCAGCCCCCAATATACACTAAAATAACAAGCAAACCAGGTTGAATTTCCATCTTCGTTGTAAGGCGAGCCCCAAGTCTGCACTCACATGGGCTGCCTTTCACTTCTCCTTTTCATTGTTTTAACTCCCCCTCCCCCTCCCCCCGCCCCCTCCTCCACACACAGTGTCCACCCAGCACTGGACAACTTCATCCGGTCAACGTGTGTGGACCCCACATCATCATTTCGCATAGGAATTGTGCCACTAGAACCAGAACGTAATGTGCCCTGCACCTGCACCAGGAGGCAGTACGGCTAGTGCATCTCTATACCCCAACTAAACATGATAAATCATTTGATTGCCGACTCGAACCTTCAAAAGTCATTTGACCTCATCCTGGCAGGCCCCTCCGCAAAGCCCTGCCAACGTTTCAACTCTTGGTGCTGCACCACTCTGAGATCCCGTTCTTGAGCTAGGCCCCTTGCCGCTAGTGGACCACATCCATGCCAGGTGCAACACCACTACTCTGACGACCCACTCTCCTATGCTGATCAGTCCAGGCACCCTGGTTGAGGTTTTTCCCCATGCAGCAACAACCCCACCAGCTACTCCTCTTGCTATTGGCGACTGCCAACGGCCAAGTTGGCCCGTGTCCCAGAGCCATTGCCACCGCAAACTAGAAAACGTTCAGGGATCGGCCACCGAGGTCCGCCTAGCTCCTCCATAACAAAGAAGCACACATCGGCCTCGTCAAGTCCTTGTCCAGCACCCCAGCGCCCGTGTGCATACTGCCTTCAACCAGGACACCCTCACACATTCAAGTGTGGTTGTATTCAGAGATGACTGTATGTTTCATCCATGTCATCCCAGCAGATGTCAGATAGAGGTCAGACACCTGTCCCCCAAATTGAAGAAAAGACAAACGACTCGAACACTTAGTTTCTCAAACAGATAATCGTTTACCCAACACCAAGCATGCCCGCACATGCCCGTCAGAACCTTCAATGTATGCTCCAAGCCAATCTTCTTGAACTCACAAGATTTTCAAAATCGAAGTGACAGAATCGAAAAGCCGGCAACCTGATCGGCTTCACGGAACGAACAGACCTGCCCCCTCAAAACCATTGCTGCATTAGATCCTTTTTTTGCCACCATGAAAGGCAAACAGTTCTTCCTTTCAGAATACAGGAACTAGCCTATAACCAAATCCGCCCAAGCCACCGCTGTGAAAAACCAATACACAACTGCAGGAACCTCCCCTTGGAGCCTGGCGCAGAGCCAGCTTTTCCATAACAGTGCTGCCATCGCCTTCCAATACCTAATGCAAGCACATCTTTCAATACCAAGCAACCACACTTACTCACACCACACACACCTAGTCCTCCTTTTCAGTCAACAGTTGCTGGTCACGCCAAGCAAGGGATGCCACAGAGTAGACCTCCCCAAGCAAGACGGGCCCAGCAACGACCCAGCGGCTGGAATGGCATACCCCAGTGCCCTGGGAAACAGCAAGCATGAAGGCACCAGCTTCCACAGCCAGGAAGACCAAGTGGATCCAGAGGTGAGCCTGCTGGCACGACAAAAGAGTAGTCAGGAGAACGGACCGAGTAGCTGCACGCCACAGGTTGGGTCCAGTGAACAAGTCAACACAAACTACAGACACCCCATCATCAGCAACCCATCATTGGGATCAACAACAGGGAGAGTATGCCAAAGCTCAGCAGCCGAATTTGCCTTGTGCCATTGTTCTTCTGGAGGGGTTCGTCATTTCGGCATGGCCGTGTTCACATCCATGTGTATTCCTATTTGCATTTGCATTCATTCCACGCTGCAACGCATCAATGAACCAGAGGAGGGCTCTGGAGCGCGGTCTCACCTTGAACCCAGTCGACATGAACATCAGCCACACCACGGACTGAAGCATGCCCCCCAGGCAGTGCCCCTCTCGGCCGGATGGCAAACATGGGCAGTCCCAGACGCCAGCCGAGTTCAGCATGAGCACCACCAGCGCAGCAAGCCTGGACGCTACCACCAGCAGGTTGCGATACCTGCTCATGAACGATACAAAGACGGGCGCCCCCACGACCAGACCGGACAGGCCCAGGCAGAAAGCGCCCGTGTTGAGCCCCGTGTCCGACGACCCGCCCACCAGGCACAGCCACGAGCACACCAGCATCATCGCCAGGCGGGCCGAGAACGACACGCCGTCCACGCGCAGCAGGTAGCGCACGATTCCCAGCGAGTCGGCGGAGTAGCGGGGCGTGGGGAAGGACCACAGGGCGCGCACGCCGGCGCCCTGCACCAGCTTGCCGACATCGTCCTTGAGGTCCGCGTAGGTGAAGTTCCGCACCACGGCGTCGGGCCTTGCCAGCCTCGCCGGCATGGAGCTGCTCCTGCTCAGCCGGCGGTCCGCCACGGGCTGCCAGCCGGCGCCGGGCTTGGGCGGCGCCGCGCCGGCCTTCTGGCGCTTGCTGGCCATGCCGGAGTTCAGTGATTTCGCTTTCTCGCGCGTGGACGCCAGCAATGGCGCGGGACCCCTGCGGAGGGGGGTACCTGAGGGCTCGGCCTTAGGGGACAGATCCGAGTCGAAGGGCTTCGGCACGGCGCCCTCGACGTAGCCCCCGGCCACGCCGCCGGCATCGATCGGCGTAGTGGCCTCTTGATCTGAGGTGCAGCTGCCCGCGCCGAGGCCCTCGCGCAGGCTGCGCATCTGGAGGCCCATCCGCATGAGGGCCTCCATCTCGGCCTCGGCCTCCTGGGAGCCGCCCTGGCCGTCCCCGTTGGGCCCCATGTCGTACAGGCCCTGGATGCCGACCTCCGACAGGCCGGTGAAGAGCACGCCCTGGTGGGCGCACTCGTTCATCACGTAGAAGAAGGACCGCCAGGCGTTGCAGTCGCTCAGGAACTTCAGCATCCCCTTGAGGACCTGCGGCAGTCGAATGCAGTCGTTCAGGTTGAGCGGAGCACGGAAAGGCAAAGGCAGCGCCTGCGCTTGCGCTTGCCGGAAAGGTGCAGATTCTGCGCCACACAGGAAAATCGTCGCCGAAGCGCAGCTTGCTGACTGGCGTTCTTGCCGACGACGGCGCAGAGGGGGTTTACCGAACATCCGTGGCACTGCTGATCTCGACGCGCCCCTGTCGAGTCGAAAGGATGTACACAGGCGGTACCCTTGTCTCAACGAGGCATGGCTCGGCCCTGGTACATTTGCGCACAACTGCGCGTAAAGGCCACGCGCAGCGCATCAGCACGACACAAACAGCAGCACACCTGGCCATAGACCTCCGTGCTCACGGCCCTCATCATGCCTTCAGCTTCGTCATCCAAGTACTCAAGTTCTCCCCTGTCCCTGGCAAACCCGTCATTCATGTCGTCGTCGGTATCGTTGTTATGCTCCCTGTACGCCGTTGCGATGGCCACCTGCAGGTTGCCGTCGCCGTGCTCGGAGTCACTGTCGTAGCGGGGGCTACTGGGTCCATCGTTCAGAGGATTGTTCAGCAGGAAGTCCAGGTCGGCAGCAAAAGGCCTGCGGCAGCACGGCGTCTTAGTTGCCCTGCTGTGCAGATGTCAACGACGATCAGCATGGCACCAAGTGGGTCAGCGCCTGTGCTGGGATCGCAGCGTACAGAACACCAGAGGTGCTGTTGACGTCCACCACAAACCCAACGGCGCCAGTACACTTGCCGAAAACAGCCACAATATTTGTCCTCAAAAGCAGAGGGTATGCTGCAGACCTGTGCGCTGGCGAACAGAACAGGCGACCTCCCCTGCAGCGTGCAGGCACAAGCACGGGAAGAGCAGCGTGTGCCATGGAAATATAGGCAACAGACCAGTCCAGAAGAGCATAATTTTAAAGATGGACAAGGGGGGCTGTGCTCACCTGAAGCGCTCCTTCCACATCATGTGCCTGATGGCTTGTTCTTGGCCATCTGACAGCACATGGCCCTCAACCAGCAAATACTGCTTTTGTTCAATATCCTTCGGTGTATCGTTCTCTGTCCGCACAACTATCGACTTGGCCGCCTGCACTGTGTTCTCAAACACCTTGTGCAGCTCCTGGGCTGCTGCCGCAGGCAACACAGGAAGGGGCGCCACACTGCTGATCTCCTCAGCAGGCTCTGTTTGTTCAGGAATAATCACGACGTTGATTATCCCAGTAGTATGCACTTCGAGGTCAAACCTGTGCAACGAGGTCAAACAACCAGATCAGCGGAAACGACACACAAGGTCAACAGCATTGACTTCACCCGCTGGTGCAACCTGAACTTCCAGACGACCATGTGCTGCTTGCTCGAGCAAGCGCGGGCTGCCAACACCCAGCCTTTCGCCCTCACCTCACGTATTCTTCATGACCTTCCACCTTTATGTTTTTGAGGACTGTGTCCCTGTACAGGAGCACCAGGTTGCCCCCCGCGGAGGACAGGCCATACTGTGTCAAGTACACCACGACGCTGTTGGGCACGAGGACCTGCAGGCATGGAGGCCGAATCTCCAGGATCTCTTGGGTCAGGCCCCGGGCATCATACATCGTCTCAGGCGAATCGTTTCGCAACGAAGACAGCTCGTTCAATCTGTGCACACGCCCGGAGGGCCGCAGCAATCAGCGAGCTGGCGCACGATCAAAAGCCAAAGTCGGACGCCAACGCGTGCAGTACCGCCCGCTGCACCTTCATCGCGCCGACCGCGACGATTGAGATCGCCCAGCAGACGCCACAGCACCAAAAGCACCCCGCAGAAAGTTCACAAAGTTGGCCGATCGCGTGCGAGAAGACCCCCAGACGGGCCCGCAGCGCCTTAGACCGACTCGTGCCGTCCAGTACGACATGCTGTCGAGCGGCGACGTCCGATCCCGGGGAGCAACCGACGGACTGAACGCCGAAAGCGCCTCAAATCCCAACCGTCGGGGCCGCCCGCGGTCAACTGTTTCGACAAGAACGGCGCGGATCGCCCAAGGGGCGGGGCGGAGGCTGGAGCAAAGGTGGTTTTTAATGGAACTAGAGGGGTGATACCTTCAGCGGTATCCCCGTCCGGCGGGACCACATTCCCGGCGGGCCGCCTTCCAGCAAGTGTCGGAGCGGCGGGCACCGGGCCGGGCGCTGTGTTTGCCCGGGCAGCCGGTGGCGACGCACCCGCGCGGCGACCTCACGCTGAAACAGGCCTCCGGACGGCCATAGGCCGCCGAAGCGGAGAGAGCGAGCAGCAGGCGATCTCCCGCTACGGAACGGCGTGAGACAACGGAAATTTTGGGGGGTGGCCCCCTGCGCGAGGGGACTTTTATGGTCCAGCCTCCCGGCGCCGGCAGTCCCGGCCCGTTTGCTGGCCTCCGAGGTGGGTGTCGGAAGCGGTGAGGGCTGCGCGGGGCGGCCGGCGGCTGAAGGGGCGCCGCGAAGCCACAGTGAGCCCTCGCCGTCCAAGGTTCGGCCTCCCAAGGCAATCTGGCACCGGGGCCTTCAAGGTTGCTCGGCGCGGCGGCAGGAAAAGCGCGAAGGGGTCGATCCGACGAGCCGCGGACCGGGCGACCAGCCCGACTGCGCTGCCGATCTCCCCTCGCCCCAAGGGCCGGGTAAATTAATTGAACCGAACGGGCTGCGTGTTCGCCCCGCCGGACGGTCCGAGGCAGGATGGCGCCCCTCGGGCTTTGCGGCCCGGGTGCCGTTCGCATGGCCCCGCGCACGTTCCCAGGAGCGGGGGCGCACCGTCAGCACACCATCCTCTCCTCGCTGCGGCCTCCTCCGTCCCTAGCAGGCAGCCCCAGCTGCCAAGAGCTCCTCCCTGGGCAGCGGCGGAGCCCCGAAGAACGCCCCCCGCACTCACAACATTGAAAGGTGGCGATACTCCGGCCCTTTCAGCGACCTCGCTCCGTGCGGCCCACTTCCTCCACGTTACTCCCCCACCAAAGCCGCATACTTTCGCGCTCACTCACTATTTTGACGACGCTGGTTGTGGATCCAGACCCCAGAAAGAGCCTGAAGCGGCGCCCCGGGTGCTGTGTGTCGGACCGCTGTTGGCTGACTTGCCCGTTAGTCAACTCCGTGCCCGATGTTGACGGCTGCGGAGATGATGGGCGCCGATCATGGGAAAACCGGACCCCGCAGATGCGCCCTCAGATTGTTGCTGCATGTGCTTTGAGCGCAAGAGAATGGCGTCAAAGCCAGTCGAGGCCCGGAAATTTCGTTGGATATTCACCGTGCCATCTTGCACGTGGTGCAAGTAATAGGCCGTGATGGGAACAGTGGACGGCAGGAGGCCCACGAAAGATAACTGAATCCTCTTACAAACTCATGTGGGGTGCTCACACGATGCCAGCCACGTTGGGTGGCTTCTTTGCTCTCATTCTTCCATGCCAAACAAGTTCATTACACAACAACGAGGCTGCGATGGAACGGCCTGCGGGCATGGAGTTGTACCCAATCATGACGAGGAGAGCACAAACTGAAGAGTTTGGGTGAGCCTGCGAGGCGGCCAACCGGAGTACAACCAATCGTGGAGCACTATCACAAGGAACTCAGCCCCATTCAGAGGTATCCACAACACTCACGTTACGCTTTTGCAGGAGTGTGTGCACGTGGTAGCCGCACAGAAGGTACAAATTGAGAAGTGTGGTGACCAGAGCTTCCTGCAAAAATGGTGGGGCGGCTGGCCAGTGTACAACCAATCGCGGGGCATCATCACAGGCACTCACCCCTTTTGACAGAGGTACCCACAACACTCACGTTACGCTTTTGCAGGAGTGTGTGCAAGTGGTAGCCACACAGAAGGTACAAATTGAGAATTGTGGTGCCAAGAACCTCCTGCAGAAAAGGTGGGGCGGCTGGCCTGTGTACAATGCCTTGCGGCGTACAATCAAAGGGAGCCCAGCCCGTGTAAGCCATCATCCAAGTCCTCTTCTGCCATATGGCCATATGGCAGAGCAGGACTTGGCGGATGGGCTGAACGGGCTAAGCTCCTTTGATTGTACTCCGTGAGTTGTACAGTGCAGAAGTGCGGCAAGACCACCCACAGGGACTTTATGCATGAAGTCACTGTAGGTGATCTTGTCGCACTTCCTGCATTGGTTAGGGCAACAGATGTAGGCGCCACATTCAGCTGTAACAGAGGGACAGTTCCGAGTTGCTTACTGAAGGTGCGGTCGAGGGAGGCAGGGATCCAAACATGGCAGGAGACCGTTACTGTCCATCAACATCTCCCCGCTGATTAATGAAAGGGGAAGATGTGAACAAACAGCAGTTGCCGGGATTCCTGAAAGTAGATATCCCCTTGTGTGCCTTGCAATCAGTGAATCGTGGGCCATGATTCGTGGCTGGAAGAATTGTGCTGTAAGCGGCAGATTCTGCTTGGCACTGCCGAGTCGGCAGAAAGCAGGCTCCAAATCGATAAGTTACATTTGGCTTGTGTTCAAAACAAAACTCACATTAAGTCAGCGATGTCGCGGTTTCATTAACGTTGCCATCCGGTTATTTGTGACATGCAATGATGAAACATTATTGATATCACATCAAGTCCGTTGTCCATACATCACATGCATGCAGCGGAATGTACCGTCAAATGCACCATTCGCTCTGAGTGCAGAAATCTTAATGACCATTTCTGTGGTAAAAACGCATTTGAGGGGATTGGGCTGTGTGGGGCCGGGCTTGGGGGCATATTTCTCGAAATATTATTGTCTTGCCAAATCGACCCCTTAGCACACTTTTTCCATCTCCAAATGTTGCTCTATCCTACCCACTGTACTGTATTGACATGGTAGATACCAAGGTTGTCTGGAACAACCCCGGTATGGGGCCAGTATGGGGCGGTACATGTACCTGTCAAGGTCGCCGCAGAGCGATCGCCGTTCACCAAAGACCTTTAGTGCTTTATGCGAACACATTCAAGTAACGGAACCGATTGCTCTTTTGTACAGCTCCACATCGTGAAATCGTTACCGTGAACTGGTACTTCAGCCCCCGACGGGCCGTCGGCGATGGTAATGTGGTAGAGTATCGTCGGGGCTCCCCCATGTTCCCCTTGTCCAAGCGACCTAAATTTAGTCATATTTTCGTGTTATCTTGCAAGCTCAAGATATCTCCAGTGTAGTTCAATATTGAGTTACACTGTAGCAGATATTCTCCCCGGGTGTGTACCGGCATAGTCCCGCGTTGATATCAAGCAACTGGAAAGCAATGGAGCGTGCCAGTGCCTGCGAATCGCACATTACATGGAAGTTTAAATCCTCAGCAGGAGTCATGTCGTAACTGAAACTCTATGCGAATACCTCTGGGAAGCTGCATGTACAACAAAATGGAATGAAACGGACGGACAGTACTGCCAGTTCGTGCGGAGAAATTCACATCGGTGCCCTACCCTGGCAAGCAGCCTGGGTTCAAAATACCCATCAGTTCAGTTCAACAAAAAAACGCCAGAGTTGATGCACGCATCGGCAACCCGACGGCGTTCACAACTCGGCAAAACTGGACATCCAAACGCCCCCATATTATGAGCCACGGTCGAAAATGCATACTGTTTTCCTACTCATCCCTCTGGAAGATACGAGAGCCGATCAGCCATGTGAAGTTGCAAGGAGACGACCTTATCATCGACATCATACTGATACAGTGCAGTACATACATCAAGCTTGGATTCCTGCAACCATTTCCAGCCACAGGTGCAAGATCACCCTATTTTGAGTCAGCTGGCCCAACAGGGTCCCTCATTTCTTGTCGTCGTCATCTCTTCCTCCGCCATAATATGGTCCGCGGTAGCCACCATCGTCGTCGTCGTCACCGCGCCTGCCACCGCGCCTACCACCGCGCCTACCACGGCATCCGTACCAGCAACCATAGCCACCAAAGCCACCAAACCCAGGGAAGCCTGCAGCACATGAGCATCACACTCACGCACGCCCCTCAATCTATGTGAACAACAACTGCGGGTGTTTCGATGTTGTGGACCCTTTTGGAGAGGCACTGGCAAGGTACAGACCATGGGCAGTTCTGGAGCCTCACAATTTGACGCATTGAGATTCTATGCGTATACTCATGAACGACAAAACGTGTTGCTCGTATTCATGCTGATCCATTGCAGAGTATAGTCGATCTCACTTCTATGTAGCCACCAAGCGATTGACGTGTGCACATGCTATGGAGCACTGCACGTACTGATGCAGGATCTCCCACTGCACGGCCGCGACCAAAACAAAGAGATACAGGTACAATGAGGGCCTGCACTGCGCTGGCTGTCCATCGCTCTGAAGCAGCCTGATGCCAGAGACGGCCAATCAGATGACTTGTGGGACTCATACAAGAAAGAAATCGTGTCCATGCCAATAATTGAATGCGCCTTTCGCACCGGATATACATGCTTCACAGGCGTCCGCTGTTATTCGTTTCGCAATGCTAGTGTCATAAAAATGGATGTACGCTGCACTGGTAGTCTCAAGAAAGTGCAACGGTGAGGGCAAAGGACGCGCCCCTAATATCTAAATTTCCGTGCATCTACTTTCATGTTATGAACAGCTACTTCCAGGGCCCTACCACTGAAAAATGCCAG